TAATATGCGAGATGAGATTTGGAGGTTTCAAATTTAGACTCCCATAAATTAGAGCTCTAATACTATATTAGACAACCACTAAACTTCAAAATCTTAAACTGTCAGATATGCAACAAATGTAAACCAAGCAAACAATACCAATATTACCCATACATTAGCATGACGCTTTGTCTGCGACACACGATAAGTGGATGCTAATAGTACTTAACCATGGCTGCCAACAAAAATGACACATGGTAAAATGTTAAATTATATAATTTTACCGTATACATGAAGTCGGCAACGGTCAATGGGTAGTGGTTAAAAACTTATAGACGGGTGTTCCCATGTATGAGACACCGGTAACTAGAAAAAAAAATCTCTTGGCAATACCAAAATGACTGGTGACCGACGAAACCGGTTGAGAGAGAACGAGAAATGTTTAAATATATATTCCCGTCCGCTTAAAATGGGTCTGAAATGTTCCCTCACGCGTCCTATCACCTCTCTCTCTCTCTCTCTCTCTCTCTCTCTGAAAGCCTATTATATTCCATGACTCTATGAGTCTCCTAGTTTATGGTTATGGCATCACAACACACACATATTAAACGACGCCGTTGAGGTTTCCATTCTCAGCCTCCCATCGCCGCCGACTATATCAGTAATGCAATTTATTAACTCATTAGCTTAGGCAAACGCCGCCGTTCCCACTTCCTTTCTCTTTTTTACTATCTCCGGCGATCGCCGACGCACCCGTTTGAACTCTTTCTAAAATTCCAAGTTTGAGCTCCGATCATGTGCTTCTCGGTGTTTTGTACTAGTGTCTGATTCGGTCGATCTCCACCGTCCGATTAGAGCCGGCGATCGACGGTCAGCTGACTGAGCTGAAAAGTCTAGAACCGGAGCTGAATTTAGAGGGACTAAAATTTATATTAAGAGAGCTGAGCTATGCTGGATCTTAATCTGAACGTCGTCGGTTCTGACCCAAACGACGTCGAGTCATGTGGCACCCAAATGGACGAGTCGGGGACGTCGAACTCGTCCGTGGTCAATGCCGACGCATCCAGCACCAACGACGACTCGTGCTCCACACGCGCCGCCAGATACGACGCCGTCACGACCTTCAACTTCGATATTCTCAAGGTCAGGGGCGGAGAAGATGAAGAAGACGATGTCGTCGTGACTAAGGAGCTGTTCCCGGTCACCGGGGCCCTGAGCAATTGGCCCGGCCAGGGGCAGTCGTCAGCGTCGTCGTCTTTGGTGAGGAAGAACTTGATGGAGCTTGGGTTCGATCATGGCGGGTCCGGAGAGGTCAGGTTGGTTCAACAGAAACAACAGCAACCAGCCGCACCGCCACCACAGCAACAGCAGGTGAAGAAGAGCAGAAGAGGGCCGAGGTCTCGGAGCTCTCAGTATAGAGGGGTCACCTTCTATAGAAGAACTGGTAGATGGGAATCTCATATTTGGTTAGTCCAATTTTGATTTCCTTAATATGGTTCTATTGGGTTTCATGTTTCGTTACTTGGATTTGCTTATTTTAATGTTGTTTCTTTTGGGTTGAGTTTGAATTGCAATTATGCAAATGCATCTGTTTCATATAGTATTAATCCGATTTACTAATTATTTTTAATTTTTGCTGGGTGCAGGGATTGCGGGAAACAAGTGTATTTGGGTATGTGTTTATGACCTTTCCAATTTGATTAGCTTGGATTTAGTTATAGTAATTATTGAGGCAATTATTTGTCATGCTTTTCTATTTGGAAAGTTTTTTATGAAAATTTAAGTGTTGGGTTTGACATAGGTGGATTTGACACTGCTCATGCTGCGGCTAGGTAAAAAGCCTTCTTCATATTTTTTTGCTTGGATTTCGTACTGTTTGTGAATTTAGATAATTAGTCATTGTGGTTACTACTGTATGTATTTTTATTAGTATTCTTAAATTGGGTTTGCTGAATTTAGAGCCTACGATCGAGCTGCTATTAAGTTCAGAGGAGTTGATGCTGATATCAATTACAACCTCAGTGATTATGAGGAGGATTTGAAACAGGTAGGATAATGCACTTGTTTCTTGATGAACCTATGTCTGCTTAATTTCATATGCTGAGTGGAATCATATTTTGATCTATTTGTAATGAATGAGCAGATGAAGAATTTGACCAAGGAAGAATTTGTGCACATACTACGGAGGCAGAGCACTGGTTTCTCGAGGGGGAGCTCGAGATATAGAGGGGTTACGCTGCACAAATGTGGCCGATGGGAAGCTCGAATGGGGCAGTTCCTTGGCAAAAAGTGAGGAATTATTTTATGGAATTTTGAATTTCTTACAGTAGGTTTCGGTTTAGACTTTATATGATCAGAGGTTGTCAATTTGAACTGAGAATTAATTTCGGATTAATTCTCAATCAGTCGTTGTCTTCTCTTTTCCTTGTAAAAAAAAAAAAAAAAAAGTCGAAGTGCCTATTTCAAAGAAAAAAAATTGTGGGGACGGTCGTTTCATCATGGAGGTTACAATGCTTGCATGCAGGTATATATATCTTGGGCTATTCGACAGTGAAGTAGAAGCTGCAAGGTCCTAATGTCATGAATTACACTCTACCTGACTGAATTTATTACCCTGAATTCTCAACCTCATTAGGCTTCCATCCAACACATCTCTCCCTTTTGATTTTTCTGGAAATTAGGGCTTATGACAAGGCAGCAATCAAATGTAATGGAAGGGAAGCAGTCACCAACTTTGAGCCAAGCACATATGAAGGGGAGATGATATCTGAGGCTGGTAATGAAGGTACGATTTCACAAATATCACTATCTTTTGAGGCAGTTCAAATGCATCTCCTGTTTTCAAGGCAGGTGGTTTACTAATTAGAAAATTTTCAAGAAATTTGTCTTCGTAGAATTGTGTTTATATATTTTTTTCTCCCTGATGCAGATGGCGATCACAATCTTGATCTGAATTTGGGGATATCTCCCCCTTCATTTGGCAATTGTCAAAAGGAAGTCGAGGGGCATCTTCAATTCCATTCCGGCCCTAATGATGGGCACAATGGAAAGAGGGTACTTAAAATTATTTTGATATATATCAGTTCCAGTAGATAGTTTTATCTTGAGATGCCCCATCTTCAAGGTTTTCCTCAATTTTTTGGATGGAAGGTTTAAGGTTTCAGATGGCTTCAAACACTAATATTTCCTGTTGCCTCTCTTAATATCTCTGAAAGTAAAAGAGTACTTCTGCTGTAGTTCATTTGTTTTTGCTAGCTGCCAAAACAAAATTAATGCGTTTTAATTTTTGGAACACTTTCGCTTATTTTAGGCACATAATGATGAAACATGTCACGCATGTCTTGGTGCTAAAACTAAACATCCTCTCTGACTTTGCAGATGGAGCACAATGTAAATGCAACGATGAGCGATCCACCTTTCAAAGGGCTAGTAATGACATCACAGCACCCACCATTGTGGAATGGTGTATATCCTAGTTACTTTTCCAATCAGGTGAATTTAAATGCTTTGTCTATAAATGATATAACTTAAGTTTAATTGTATTCATTATATGACTTTGTTTTATTTCTCTGACCATAACGGTACCATTTTTGCAATAACCATCATAGCTCGACTTATCTGAAAAATCCCATATTGGTAACTGAATATAATTAATGAAGTTGCCACATAACCTAACTTTGTAACTAAATTTAACTCAGGTTAGGTGCAAACTGTATAGGTTGGGTTGGGAGACTTTGTATTCTGTTTTCTATGTTGTCAATTGTGGATAGTAGATGTTGGGAAAACAAGAAGTTATAAAAGTAACGTTTAATAATGTGGTAAGACTTGGTCCTTTTTTAAGTGCTTGTAGTTTTCGTAGTTTATACACTATCAAAAACTTCTTATGACTTTAAACACTGTACTGTTGAACTGTCGCTGCTCCTATAGCGTAGTCTCTGTATTATACAATATGGTCCTATTTGCTTCTGTAATCGAATCAAACTATATTTCATGTGAAGAATGATCTATTTTTATTTTTCTTTCCAATTTAGCTTTCATTTAAGGTATGAGAGGACGTTGCATTTCACACTTGGATGAAGACCTTGATTGTGTAAAATACAAGTCTTGAAACTAATAGTTTACTCTTGAATCATTTGACAGGAAAGAGCAACAGAGAAGAGAATTGCATTAGGATCTCAAGGACCCCCCAACTGGGCTTGGCAAATGCATGGCCAGGTCAGTGCTACCCCAATGCCACTGTTCTCTACTGCAGCATCATCAGGATTCTCATTTTCAGCTACCGCTCCCTCCGCTGCTGTCCACCCCTTGCAACCCTCAACCCCAACAGCCCTCAATCTCTGTTTTACTTCGCCAGCCACGGCTGCCGCCAATACTTCTCAATAGTAGAGTATCACCGAGGGAAGGCCGCACGGCCTAAATTTTCCTCCAGATTGAAGGAGCAACCATAATAACGGTGGTCTTCAGATTCTTTGTATCATTCAATTAGAGATTGATCTATACACTACAACTTGATTTCTGACTCCTTTTCCTCTCATTACCACTGTTGGATATATCAGTACCCTTAAGTCTATTTGTATTTGTTCTCGGAAATATGTTATATCTAACTTGATCTCTAATGTAAAGTATCAAGTGGTAATGGTGGGATCCATCTATCTATCCAAACTACTCGTTCAGAAAGAGATGTTAATAGTGAGCTCTTTTAAGATTGTTATAGATCGAAGGTTTGTTTATTAACGCAAACAGTACGACATTTCCAGCATATAGGCCATAGTAATTGTGTATTTGGAGAAAATTTCAGTGCGACTGTAGCACCATGAATATGTTGTCCGCTCGTGTTATAATGGATAGATTAGTAACACCATGTGACGGTTCGCCCCACAATTGACAGAGAAGTAAAAAGCCCGGCAACACAAACAATTCTAATTGCCAAAGATACCGCACCAAAAGTGTGAGGGTTTGTAGAAGTAGAGGTTAATGCATGGGACATTTTTGGTGATGGTTCTGTACATAATGCTTTGCTAGTGGCAGAGGAACAAAATCAAAAGAGAAAAAAGAATTGTTTCCCATTGCTTTACAATGAAAGCAAACTTCTAACAAAAGATGACATGAAAACTCAATGCCCCTTTCTGTCGGAAGAATTGTCCTTGCATCCTTTGAAAGACCAGAATCATATACTTGTGAACTTCCCAATTATATACAATCCAGAACAATGCTTGATTATTACAAGTCGTCGGTGTAGACAAATTACAGTTAAACACGTGTCCACTTACAAAGAAGAAAGATAAGTGAATATCTGTCAAATTGTGATTTGATTGTGTGCGAGAATGAATGACTTTATTTACTATGAGTGCAAGTTGTGATTTTCTTGTAAAAATGATTCTTTACAAATTGAGGGTATGCAATCAATTTCTTTATCAATCACCATGTCCTTCTCAATCCTTTAAATCACAGCAACACAAAAATAAAAATCCTTCCACCTCACTTGATATTAGTGTGCATATAAGTAAGATTAAGATAATTAACAAGTTTTGATCATGTTACATCTTCTTCTTTTCGTTTGGTGCGATTTCGCCTTTAATGCGAATGCACTTTCACATGATCGGATTAGTACATTGCTCTCTTGAGTAGTAGCCTGTGTAAACACGCACACACTCCTATTACTCCAAATACTATCACTTGAATTTATTACATTACCACTGGAATCACACACTCACTATCCTTCCAAAGTCGCACTAAAGAAAACTTACTGTTGTCACCCTTGGCATAGAATTGGACAACATTTGTGGAGTGTGTGTGAAGGAACACTTGCATCTTCAATTGTGAAACGTGGTTGACTACCACTTTTTGCATATGCACTTAGTACATAGGAGGACCGTAGAAAAAAAAAAATAGAGCCACGTAGCCTTTTTTGAGGCTGTGAGTGACAGAAAAACTTTCACATTATTATATTATACGTATGGGAATGGGATCATTTCATGAATTCTTAGTTCATCTACTACTTTGAGTGCTTTTACATCAACGCCTTGAATTATTATTATAAATGCCGCCCATAAGTGGAATCATCAGTTTAGAGAGATGGTCAGTAATGTGGTGCAAATGATAACATTCTTCTCTTTATAGTAAATTAACGATTTCACCGACAGCTTTAAATAACACGTATACGTTTTTATTTATTTTTCATGCCTCTCACATTTTGTACATGCTTTTTTCCCACTGAAATTAAAGGCTTGAGAACTAAAGATTAATATTCGACCGCTTGTTTACATTATAAAAGTACAATGGTATGATAGAAACCCTTGAGCATCCACAATTTCCATGTTCAGAAAGTGACGTAAGGCTTTCTCTATTTTGTTTGGTTCTTTAATGGTGTTATATTATTAATAGGGAAAATATTTAGTTCATTCTCTCGAAATTATCATACTTACAGATAAATTATAACTTTACGTGCGTACATAATTTATAAAAAAAAATTACATATGTATATGTATCAAACTATAATTTATAAAATATAAATAAAAATACTATTAAGTTGTGTATATTCTCTGGTTTATATTTAATCATGAGAAGACACAGAAAATTGACTATTAAAGCATGTGATTTGTATTTAATCTCAACTACCACAACTCCAGGAACAGTTTTTGGATTTGTTATCATGAAAACAACTTGGTAGAAAACAAGCACAGCTGCAGTGCACAAGTCAACATACTATGTACAAAGCAATAATAATAATAATAATAATATTATTATTACATATTGTATTTTATACTTTGCGTTGGAAACCCTGTCTCCACTTGTACAAGATAAGTGGAGGCTTTATCTCCCTCTCCCTCACAGCCACCAAAATTAGATCCCAAAATCCATTTGCTAATTTGATTTGTTTGCATAATTTTGATATTTGTTTGTTAATTCATCCTTCTGTACTGGCTATTTCTGTAGGGTTCTATATACTAAGTGAGTATGAGTGATGCAGATTTCACGTATCCCTCTAACTAACTCTTTAAAGAGAAAAGATAATTAAAAAAAAACTTCAAATTTACATCTTATGTAAGCATGAGGACTATCACAAAGGGCTCATAGTTTCAATAGCTAATCACATATATATATATATATATAGTAATTCTTCTAGCGGACGTTAATACATTATTAGCGTGCAGACGTTATTGTAAACAGAAAAGAAAACATAGAGGAGTAGTAGAAAATATATGACGTTGTGATATAAGAATTTGAAAATTATCCTTTTACTCTATCATGTGTTTACATGCCACCACAAGGGAGTTTAGCATGGGGAGGTTGAACTTTAATAAATAGTAGAGGTGGACACGGTTCAGGCTAGACTGATTTTTGCCCCAAATTAGAACCGATTCGGTACTATTCATCCAGTTTGATTCGGTTCGGTTTTAAGTAAAAATTTTAAAAACTATCTGGTTCAGGTTGAACCAGTTCCGATCCGATTTGGTTTTAAACCAGATTATAAAAAGGGAAGTTTCACTAAAACACCCAAAATGGAGGTTGAAATTATAAAAAAACCCAAGCACTATTTA